ATCCTTACAGATGGTCTTTGCTAATGACGTCTTCTCTTAATGTAGCGGTTCCACTTATATGAAAGAAAAAAGAGGAGAGAGAAGGGCGACCAATAGTGTAGTATATAAAATTCTGGTGTGGACATAAAAGAATAATAATATAGAACTCACATTTACCAGAGCTATTGTCCTAGCTCTGGGTTAAGGCGCATACAGCGGTTTGATCCCCGCTTGTAGGATTTAAATGGGTTCCTCTCTGTGATAGGTGTCCAATTCTCGGAATAAAAGAAAACAGCCGATAGTGCTCACTGTATAGCAATATGGATAAAATAATAAAAGAATGTACTTACAAAGCAGGAGCAGATTTCCTGCTCCGTGATGACAGCTTGGGTGGATTGAGCCCCACCTAGGATTTCTTTAAATACAGGAGGCTTCCAGGGATTCTCAAGGTTTTTTTAAAACCAGTAAAAAAGGAATAAAATAATTAAAAAGGCCAGGGTAATAAAAAAGGAAAATTATGTGTCTATAAAAAAGATTATTGGTACAAACAAATAACCAAAAATACTTTAATATATAAAAGAACAAAATAATTGAATTTCCATAACGCGTTTCGTCAGAGACTTTTTCAAATGGAATAACATGTAATACCTGGCTTGATAATGTTATGTAGGAGCATAACTGATTTACATTTGGCGCCAGAATTGGTCCGTCCAATCAGAAATAGAAACATATATAAAAACTTTAAAACATAATTATACCTTTATCAGTACATTGTCTGCTGTTTCATAACACATTCCTGATATTTATAATTAAAAAACGAGGGTGACTCATTTTAACTCATTTCAAGCCTTTCTTGACGTAAACAAATTCGTTAGAAAAGCCACATTAAAAAGATTTTTTATAAGCAAAAATGACAAAGAACTCATCCCACCTATTTTACCTTCTTCTCTTAAGACAGACAGTAGTCCTTTTTTAAATACACACCTTAGGGAAAAATCCAAGTTTTATCCATCTCATTTTAAATCGGCCCCTTTGATTTTATTTGAAAAACTTGTTCTTAAAGACTTAGAAAAAATCAAACACAAAAAATATGATTCTAACAACCTTACAAATGCCGAAAGACAAGCTATCAAAGAACTTCAAAAAGATAGAGATATTGTCATCAAATCAGCAGACAAAGGTGGCGGAGTAGTCATCCAGTCCAGTAAGATGTATATTGATGAAGCCCATAGACAATTGAAAGACATAAATGTATATGAACAACTCTCAATAGACCCTACAAAAAAGATACAAACCATTCTACTTAACTTTTTAAATAAGGGTCTGAACTTAAACATTTTAAATAAACAAGAATTTAACTTTTTAAATAAGGAATTTCCGATCACCCCTGTTATCTACTTTCTTCCCAAAATTCATAAAGATGAACAACATCCCCCAGGCAGACCAATCGTTTCTGGGATAGGTTCACTCTTATGTAATCTTTCACAATATATTGATACCCTTTTACAGCCTTCGGTCAAACTCATGAAGTCCTATTTAAAAGACTCTATGTCACTTTTAAAATTTTTAAGTGATTTTACTTGGAAAAATAGTTTTATTTTAGTTACATGTGACGTACAGTCTTTTTATACTATTATTCCCCATGACATTGGTTGCCAAGCTATAAAAGAAATTTTAACTCAAGAAGCTAGGATCCCTGATATCCAAATAGACTTTATAATAGAAGGTATCAATATTATTTTAAAAAATAATTATTTCTGGTTTTTAGATTCATTTTATTTGCAAAAGAGAGGCACTGCTATGGGGACTAGGTTTGCCCCCAGTTACGCCAATTTGTTTATGGCTGACTGGGAATCAGAAGCCATTTGGGGTAACCATCAATGGCGGGCAAACCTAGTCACTTATTTTAGATACATAGACGACCTCTTTTTTATTTGGGACGGATCAGAAAACCATCTTACTGAATTTATCAACCATTTAAATACCAATAATAGGGGTATTATTCTTACGTATGAATTTAGTAAAAAATCCATCAATTTTTTAGATCTTAGTATTTTTATTAATAAGGGACTACTCCAAACTAAAACTTTTTTTAAAAAAGTATGTGTAAATACAGCCATAGATAAATCTAGTTGCCACTACAAACCCTGGCTCGAGAGTGCACCAAAAAGCCAATTCTTACGTCTTCGTAGAAATTGTTCAGAACTTTCAGATTTTAATGAGCAAGCAGAGTTTTTAAAAGACAAATTTATGGAAAATAAATATTTAGAATCAGATTTAATTACTACAATTAATACAGTAAAACAAAAAGAAAGAAAAGGACTTCTGATGTATAAAAATAAAGAAAAAGACGAATCAATAGTACTTCCAGTGATTTTTAATTTCAACAATAAAAGTAATGATGTTAAAAAAATAATAAGAAAACACTGGCATATACTCAAACACGACGAGATACTTAATCCCATCATACCCATCCATCTGAACATTGTTTTTAGAGGAGCACCAAATTTTAAATCCATTTTAACTACTAATTTTACTAAACAATCTCCTCCAAAAAATGTATCCCTTTTTCCTCAGACAAAAGGTTTTTACAAATGTAAACAATGTATTGTATGTAAAACCACAGATCATTTTACTCCATCTAAAGTCACAAATTTTATGTCTAACCGAACAAAAAGAGTGTACAATATTTATGATTTTATTTGTTGTAATACGAAAAATGTTATTTATCTGCTTGAGTGTCCATGTGGCCTCCAATATGTGGGGATGACCACAAGGTGCTTAAAGATAAGGCTAAGTGAACATTGCAGAAATATCAAAAATGGGTACTTAAACCATACAGTATCCAAACATTTTATTATACACAACAAAGATCCACGCCTACTAAAATGTATAGGTATAAAAAAATGTTCTACCTCCTGGCGTGGAGGTGATATAAAAAAGCTGCTTGGTAAAACAGAGATGGAATGGGTGTATAAACTCAAGACCCTTATACCCCATGGTCTTAATGCAGATTTTGATCTATACAATTTCTTATGAAAATGGATATAAAATGATGTTTGTATTTCCTATATTTTAAATGTTGCTTTTAATACCCTCTCTAATTATGCCAATATCTTTTAATATCATGTTTGTATTCAAGGTTTTTATTGTTGCATCTTTTAAAGTATTCAAATTTTACTTTTTATAGTAAATTATTAGCCCAAACTATATTTCACATTAGGCACTTCGGTTTTATTTTATGCCCACTATATTATCTTCCAGAAATTCATTTTGTATCAATAATTAGCCTGTACTACATTTCCCATCAGGCACTTCGGCTCTAACTTCCGGTTTGCGGAAGTGCCGATTAATCTGCACATGGATTTAGGTATTATATGTAGTATTATATTAGTGCCTTCCCCTTTTCTATGTTTTAGGTTTCCCTAGGTTGCATGGGAACCATTGTGCCAATTTGGCACTATAGATTTTTATTTTATTATGCGGCCGCCGACCGCGGCCATTTAAAACTACATCTCCCATGTGGCATTGCGGCTAGACTTCCGAAAAGCGGAAGTGCCGTATGCCACGTGATTATTTTAAAACGTTTCAAACTATACTTTCTCACCCTCGTTTTTTAATTATAAATATCAGGAATGTGTTATAAAACAGCAGACAATGTACTGATAAAGGTATAATTATGTTTTAAAGTTTTTATATATGTTTCTATTTCTGATTGGACGGACCAATTTTGGCGCCAAATGTAAATCAGTTATGCTCCTATATAACATTATCAAGCCAGGTATTACATGTTATTCCATTTGAAAAAGTCTCTGACGAAACGCGTTATGGAAATTCAATTATTGTGTTCTTTTATATATTAAAGTATTTTTGGTTATTTGTTTGTACCAATAATCTTTTTTATAGACACATAATTTTCCTTTTTTATTACCCTGGCCTTTTTAATTATTTTATTCCTTTTTTACTGGTTTTAAAAAAACCTTGAGAATCCCTGGAAGCCTCCTGTATTTAAAGAAATCCTAGGTGGGGATCAATCCACCCAAGCTGTCATCACGGAGCAGGAAATCTGCTCCTGCTTTGTAAGTACATTCTTTTATTATTTTATCCATATTGCTATACAGTGAGCACTATCGGCTGTTTTCTTTTATTCCGAGAATTGGACACCTATCACAGAGAGGAACCCATTTAAATCCTACAAGCGGGGATCAAACCGCTGTATGCGCCTTAACCCAGAGCTAGGACAATAGCTCTGGTAAATGTGAGTTCTATATTATTATTCTTTTATGTCCACACCAGAATTTTATATACTACACTATTGGTCGCCCTTCTCTCTCCTCTTTTTTCTTTCATATAAGTGGAACCGCTACATTAAGAGAAGACGTCATTAGCAAAGACCATCTGTAAGGATATAACATTGGGACTTTTCTTTTCCTTTACATTGGACTTTATTTTTACTTGTGTGCGCAGCCTTTTTCTTATTATTTTCATCCATCCAGTTCTAAAGGGTCTGAGGGATCCCCTTTTAAGGTTGCTGCCTATAAGTTATCTAGCGCTGTCTCATTTCCATTTTTTGTTACTAGTGGCCAAGGAGGACTCAAGGAAGCATCCACTTGCACCTGAAATGCCTGGCATTCGTGGTTAGTCGTGTTCCACTGCAAATACTTTGTAGAATTCAAAGTAGAGGGTAGGAGAGTAACACTTATTTGGTAATACCATGTGCCTCTTGGTTTTTTGGGGCAGGTCCTTACAGTATGTTGAGGATGTCCACAGTATAGGCATAGATTATCTCTCCTTCTACGTTGTAATTCAGCAGGGTGTAGTGACTGGAACCTGGGAGGAGGAGCAAGTGCCTTTACATGCAGAGAGAGAGAAGTTGCTTTCTCATGACATCTCTCACGCAGTCATCTGTCAAGCTGGATTTCCTGTTGCATAAAGTTTTCCAGCAAATCAGGAACACCAAAGTGAGCGAAATTATCTTTGAGAGGGTCTGAGAGGTCAAGGTTAATAAGTCCGTTTTCATTTTACCTGGTATCTTTGGAATAGCGTTTGAAATCTGCGATATATTCCTCTACTGGTCTGCGTCCTTGTCGCAAGGCTCTGATGGCTGTCTGAGATGTATCCCGCCTGTTGGGATCATCATACATGGAGGACATAAGTGTCACAAAGGAGTCCCAGTGTTGTACAACAGGATCATTATCCCGTAGCAATTCATGCGCCCATTCGTGTGAGGGGCCAGAAAGGAGGGATATCAAGGTACATACTTTGATGGAATCAGAGTGGTACGTGCATGGTTGTAGATCGAGCATCAACTCACAGGACATAATAAAGGACCGGTACTTCAAGCGATCACCTGGAAAATTTTCTGGCATGGTGATCCGTTGTTCAGGTGCCATAGCCATATCTTCTGGAAGGGGCATTAGATTGGCAGCTACAGCAGACATAGGTGTCCTTGCTTGTGTTTGCAATTCTTGGACTGCTTGAGTCAGGTTGGTCACTTGTCTCATTGGGGTATCGAGCATTTAAGCCACATCTGCAAGCTCCATTTTAAGGCTCAGTTGTTCTGTCTGGTTCACTGTTTAGTTGATGGAGCCCAAGATGCAGAGGAGTGCTGAAGGCAATGGAACAAGTTCGCAGTACAAAAGGATCAGATGAAGAGAGTAGTTGGGGATGCCAATGGTCAGGACAGGCGGCCCAGGTTCAGAAGTGACGATATAGGCAAGGGTCAAAATCAGGATACAACAGGATAGTCACTGAAGGTCTTTACATGATCAGAAGCACAGTACAACTGAGCGAGAAATCAAGGATGTATGAAGTTTAAATAGTGAGAGTGGGTGGTCTTGTCTATTGAGGTTCCTCCCTGGTCTCCACCTCCTATATTTTTAAAAGGCTCTGTTTCGGCACACGTAGGCCCTTTGATTCTTCTGGAACTCTACCTACTGTGTGCATTCTCATAAACAGAGTTCTGTCTTGCTGTGTTCGGTAACTGGCATCCGTATGAATGAAGTTCTGCCTCCTGAGTTGGTAAGTGGCATACGCATGAACAGAGGTGGCATTTGTATACACGTGAGCAGTCGGCATGGGTGGTTGAGCTACCCTGCTTTCCGACTCGGCATCCTCGTTGAGTGAGAGAGACGCTGCGTGGGAGCACGAGGTAGGTGACTGTAGGAGCAAGGTCCTGATACCCAGCTGTGCAGGAGGCAAAGGAGGAGAGAGGTCAGACTGGGAGAGGAGCAAACCCCTTACTTCAAACAGCCCTAGCCCCAGAAGTCACCCTCGTGCACCCAAAAGGTAGGAAACTGAAATGTGCAAACATTTTGACCTGCATGTGTGTTTTTCGTATCTGTATCTGTAAGCATAGTATTTGTATCTGCATGTGTCTAGGTGTGTATCTCTGTAAATCTGTGTCATTGTTTGTATCTGTAAGTGTGTCAGTGTGTATGTATGTCAGTATATCTGTATATGTGTGTGTTTGTGTGTGTGATTCTTGTATCTGTGTATCTATGTGTGTTAGTGTGTGTATTTGTATGTGTGTCAGTGTCTATATCTGTATGTGCATCAGTGTATGTATATATGTGTCTATAGCTGTATGTGTGTCAGTGTTTGTATCTGCATGTCTGTCACTGTGTCTGTCTGTAAACTGTATGTGTGTCACTATTTTTACCTGTGTTCCTGTGCATTTGCAGGTGTGTCAATGTTTGTATCCGTGAGTCTATATCTGTGTCTGTGTATCTAGATGTGTGTCAGTGTTTGTGTCTGTGTATCTCCATGTTTGGCATTATTTGTATATGTGTGTCAATGTGCCTGTATGTGTGCCAGGGTTTGTATCTGTATGTCTGTATCTGTGTGTGTCAGTGTTTGTATCTGTATTTGAATATACAATTATATAGTAGGCACTCAACCTTAGTATGTGCTGGGTGCTTTATAGGAAAATCCCTTCCCCCACCAGATCCATGCAATAGAGAATAACCCAAAGCACACCAGATTAGATTTGCACATAAAATATTTTTATTAATAAGTGAGTTAGTAAAAATTGTACAAATGAAATGCAAACAGCAATATAGGCATGTAAACAGAATAATAATTATTGTACATACAGATACAAAGATAAGTGCCCCAGTTAAGAAACCCACAAACCCATAACAATATATGAACCCTGAGCAGGAGATACAGCAACCCCAATGTTTCGGCGTCTAGCCTTCCTCAAGGGGGATCTCGTTGCATCTGTACGTCTGTATCTGTGTTTCATTGTTTCTATTTGTGTTTCTGTGTATCTCCATGTGTGGCAGGGTTTGTATCTGTGTGTCTGCACATCTGTATGTCTTTCAGTGTTTGTATCTGTGTATCTGCATGTGTGTGAGTGTGTATACAAGTGTGTCCGTGTTTGTATCTGTGTGTCAGTGCATATTTCTGTGTCAGTGTTTGTATCTATGTGAATCTGTGTCTTTGTGTGTCTATATCTGTATCTCAGTGTTTGTATCTGTGTGTCTGTGCATCCACATGTGTGTCTGTATCTGCAGTTGTGTCTATATTTGTATCTGTGAATCTGCATGAGTGTCAGTGTATATCTGTGTCTGTGTATCTGCATGTGTTTCAGTGTGTGTATCTAAGTGTCTGTGTATCTGCATGTGTGCCAATGTGTGTATCTGTACTATATATTTATCTGCACTATACATACATACATACACCCCAGGCAAAGGAGAAGTAGGGGAGCCTAGAGCAGAGACAAAAGGAAGATGGAGGAGAGAAAAACATAAACATTTGAAATAGCATCAAGTATAATTACAAACATTTTGCTAAAATTAGGGATACAATTTATGGAAATGGGCTGCCAAGGTGAAAATGGTTGGGAACCATCACTTTAGAGTTACCCTGGCTTAGCTTGTTATCTAATGCATGCTATGCACATTTAGGGTTTGTCATATTAATTCCTTTGTGACAAGAGCAATCTCGCCACATTGCATTGGAGAAGCCTGGTTGCTCGCCTGTTGCCTCTAGATCATGGCCCCATGCTAAAAGACATCTTTTTTACCTGCAGAAAAGATTTATTTGTCTTGGGAGATAATTGAATTACTTCTCAATTATCTCCAAGGCAGAGGGGAGGAAGCCAGGATGCATTGTGGGAATATAATGTGGCTGTGTGTCATATTTGTCTACTTGTCTGTCTTTTGTCACAGTCTCCCATTTGGTCCCCTAGAGGAGTGTCCACCAGGTGGGAGACCTGCATAAATACTGGGCAGGTAGCCCTCATTAAACAGACCACTGCTTGACCCTCAACACAGAGCCTTGTCTCGTCTTTGGAGGGATTTTCTGAACGCTGATAGAGACTGATTGCTAGGAGTGTAAGCCGTTTGGATGCTTTTCCTATTCGTCTGCTAGCAGCGATTCGTATGGTTCCAGTTCGTGTGTTTGGATCTGTGTGTCAGTGCATATTTCTGTGTCAGTGTTTGTATCTATGTGAATCTGTGTCTTTGTGTGTCTATATCTGTATCTCAGTGTTTGGATCTGTGTGTCTGTGCATTCCTATGTGTGACCGGCAGGACACACATAGGAAGCAAACCTCCTAGATTCCCACCTCCCTATCCTCTGCACCTCCTGATCTGGCATACCTAGCAAAGAGGCCTCTGTTGTGCCGCCCATTCGAAAAGAGTGCCCACCAAACTCAGCACCCTCCAAGCCCAACACAGCCAGCCCTAAATGAAATACAGTGACAAAGTGAAAATGGGAGAGGAAGCTCCCATCCTCGTGCACCCATAGAGGGCCAGACAGTGCAGGGCGTACCCCACAATAATTCTTAAAGGACAAAACTGGGCAGGTGGCCAACCCAGGGACCCAGCTGAACCCACTTACCCTTCTGGAAACAAGTCAGTCTTCGAGCAGCGAATCTTAAAAGAAACCCAGTCCTGCCCCTCCCGAACATCAGAGAAAAGGATCCCCCCAACGGCCGACCTGTCCGGACACACCAACTCCCCATTCTACATGGCCCCAAAGAATGTGAAAGAAAAAGCGTGGCAAAACAGCTGCACTGGAAGGGGATCCAGAACCCATGTACAAAACCCTCCAGGAGCAGTCCTGCCACCCAAAGGTTTTTATAACGGCCGAGCCAGGGGCGCATCTCGCTTATGCACACCGGCGGCGTCGCCCTTAGCCCCCAGGTTGCCCTTGTCCCCTGACCTACCTCGCTTAAAACATCGCGAACCCAAATGGGCACCTCCGCCACCTCCGGTTAAACTGGCATGATGCACCCCACTTGCATTGAGTGTCATTAAATTTCCAACAGTCTGGTTGCTGATGTGTGGCCGATGAGGCAGAGCCACCCCTCTTCCACATCGCCCCATGAGAGAGTATGAACTCACCATGGGGACAGAATGGGACCACACAGAGCACAACTAACTATCCAACCTCTGGGGACCTTGCGCCAGTGCACCCCACTCCGACTGGGAAAGGAGACCCCGCAACCCCAACATAAACCCACCTAGTGTGGATGCCCCAGACAATAAGGAAAATGGGACTCACCTGATGGCGCCTTGGAACCAGCCGGCGGCATCAAAGTCGAAGCAGGAACCTGGGAAACTGAATCCTGAGACATCCTTGTGGCTCTCATGTGCGCAGGAGCTTCAAATGTCACCTGCTAGACAGATGTGGTAACCGCATCCAAAGCCTGAGAAAGCAGTGGACAGTCAGTGAGCCCGCACCCCAGACCAGAAGGCTGCTGAAACAGGTAAGGAGAAGGGGGCCCAGGGACTGTCCAGACACATGTAGCTGAGCAGGGGAGGTTGATAAAAGAGGAGGGGGTTGAGCAGAAAAAAGGAGGGGGGAAGAAAATGGAGGGGCAGAGGAAACAGGGACAGGAGAGGCCACAGACCTAAGAGGGGGATAGCCCCACAGGGAAGGGGGATGCTGGAAAGGGGGATGGAGCGAGAGCAGCCATCGGAAGAGGGGAAGCCGTCTGGCCCACATACCCCACTGGCAGGGACGTATTAGCCGCGAGGCAAACAAGGCATTTCTGCGGCTAACTGACATGCTGGGCGGGCGGCGCTGGCTGCTGGGCGGGCGGGCGGCTGGCCAGGGAGCTCTTCCTCTGAGCGATCTGCTCAGCTCCCTCGCGCGCCGCAGAGTGAGGCTGGGAGCCGGAATATGACGGGAGCTGAGCAGACCGCTCATAGACAGTGCTCCCTCGCCAGCCGCCCGCATAGCAGCCAGCGCCACCCAGCCCGACCGGCAGCCACTAGACCACCAGGGAGAGAGAGACCCCCCCAGCACTCCCAAAGGTAAGGAGGTTGGGGGGGTTAGTGTGTTTGTGTCTGACTGTGTGCGTGTCTGTGTATGTGTCTGACTGTATGTGTCTGTGTTTGTGTCTGACTGTGTGTGTGTGTGTGTGTCTGCCTGTGTGTGTGTTTGCGCCTGACTGTGTGTGTGTTTATGTCTGACTGTGTGTGTGTTTGTGTCCAACTGTGTGTGTTTGTGTCTGACTGTGTGTGTGTGTTTGTGACTGTGTGTGTTTGTGTCTGACTGTGTTTGT